GCTATGGGGAATAATCCTGAGCTGCTCTATTTCCACCCTTGGTAGAGGTAAAAGGCTCAGTGGCAGCTGTATTTTGCTGAAGAGGAGCCTTCTTCTCCTCTATTGCAAAGGTCACCCTATCATTTAGGGGAATGATCTGGAAGGGAGAGAAGATGGTGAAGATCCATTTTTGACTCAGTTGTATTTGGTTTCAGTCCATTACCCAACAAACCCAGGGGTGCATCCTGAAACACCTGGTAAAAGTCATCAAGGCCAGACATTTGAGAAGAGGTGGAGCTCTGGGCCCCTGCGTCAAGTTGCCAACAAGTAACTCTGGTTATCTCTAAATAGTCATGCCTCTAAATTCCAATTCTGACTACAGCACAGATCTCTGTGAGGTGAGTCACAGCTGCCAGGTAAGGACTGTACATAGAGTCGATGCTCTGTTTGTCCACATGGTTTGGGATTTCAAAGAAAAATCTTTTCAACTAGAAATTCCCTTATATTTGAAAAGGTAGAAAGCATCTGGGTGGGTGGATGTGTCTGACAAAGAGACAGAGAGAGTGAGAGGAGAGAGCACACAAAATAGGAAAAAGGGAGAGATAGAGAGAAGGGGCTTCTCTCTGAAAACTTCATCAGTACACCAAACACTCTGCCACAATAGCTACCACATGGCTCAGCCCTTGCCCTTCACCCTCACTGCCAGGTATTGTTGGGTGAAATCACAGGAGCCCTAACCCTGCCTCTGGGAGCGGGGCAGGGGGCAGGGCTGGGTAGACTATAATGAGATGATTTTAAAGCCCTGTTAACTTTTTCCGTTTTAACTGATATTTCTGGATGAGGCACCAGCTCTCTTGGGAGGCCAGTTCTAAGGCATTCCATGGAACCCAAAGCCAACTATAAAAGTCTAGCTCAGGACAGAGCTGCTGGGGAAAGAGTTGCACTTGAATCTCTACTTATTCCAAGTCTAGATTCAGAAGGCCACAATTAGGGGAGAAGGCTGCCTCTTTCCTTCCCAGTCCCACAAAGAATACATGGAATGACTTCAGAATTCCCTCTACCCCTTACGATCTAAGAATCAGAATTTCTTGCTTATTATTACAGAGGAACATTAATATCCAAATGAAGGCTCAGAGGGGTTGAGTAAATGCCCAAGAATCGCATGGCCAAGAAGCAGTAGAGTTGACCTGCAGAGGCAGGAGCAGCTCTGGTGGATACCAAGCCCATGTTTTTCTCCCCCGTGTGCAGTGCATTAGCACAGGACAAGTCTTTGAGGCTGCAAAATGAACGAGATCTAGTCCCTACCCCCAGGAGCTCAGATAGAGGCAAAGGCTTAGAGTATCTTAGGGAGTTGTAGTTCTGCTTCCATTAGAGGCTCATCTTGGCCTGGAGCACAGTCTTCAGTGAAAGACTCTCCTTATACCTCAGAGTTTACACTTATGAAATGAGGAATAATGCCTACTGTCAATTAAAATGTACCCTTTAATATGCTCAAAAATTTGCAAAATATTCTAAGGCCCTTAGCACTACATCAATACAAAGTGTCACTCCTATTATTAATGGATAATCGCTACCACTATAAGAACATTTGAGTCTGATGCTCTGTACATTAATGAAATGAATTTGCTTGGTAAGTAAGGTGACCTTATACCAGCTCCCACAGCACAAACTGACAGGGGCTGACGTAACCAGATACAAAAAGATTTTGAAGTCTTGATTCCAGTTTGAGTTATGCTAACATAATAGGAAAAGGCCAAGCTGAATTATAAGAAAAATGGGAATGGGGTAGAAGTAAAATCCTGGTACCAAAATATAGGGTTAGGAGAAATACAAGGGTAACAATTACTGGGTGAAAGAAAGCATCCAACCCTTTAGCCATATTGTTTTTCATCTCCTGATCTGAATTCACACAGCAGGGTTACACGGCTGCTCAACAGCTGCCCAGCTTCATCCTAAGGCAGGTAAAACTACTACTGGGCAAGAGCGTGCATTGAACAAAGTCAACAAGCTCCATGCCTGCCTCCCACGGGAGACTGCAGACGTCAGAGGGGGCTCTGGCTTAGCGTGCCATAAGGAGGGCTGTGCAGAAAGAGACTCTGGTCAGGGCTCTGTAAAGCCCTGTGGAGTCTGTGGGGAACAATAAGAATGCAGAATATAAATGTAAGCTGCAGGCTGATGGGCCCATTAGGAATTAGGGCAGTCTTTGAAAGGAATCTGCAGAGATGATGCAAAACACCAAGCATGTGACCCAAATCATGGCAGGGCATATTGGAGGGAGAGGGGAATGGGAATGAGACATTTTCTAATCTGATTAGTCTGAAGTTTCCCCTGAGTGTGGAGAAGGGTCACTGCACAATTAGAGGCAAAGTTAGACTGAACATGGTCTGCTTAGCAGCTGAGCGGGATGACCTCCTCAAAGCTAAGCTGGGCTTGGAGACAGATGTGTTCAGAGACTGAGACGACTTCGAAGCAAGTTCTGAAACAATCTTTTTGCATTTAATGTCAAATCGTAAAGGCAAAGACAAAACAGTCTGCTGAGAGAATGAGAGGATGATGACTTGGTGGCCTCAGCACTGGATAAGAAACATGTAGGTCCTCCAGAGGCCAGGCTCCCACATTACTGGACTTTCCAGGACAACTCATCCTCAAGGTCATCACAAGATAATCTAATAAACATCCACAGCTTCCTGACTAGAAGACAGCTTAATGTGTGAAAGGCATTCAGATCCAATTGTTGAAAAACATGGCTTCCTCTACATAGAAAGACACAGGTTTCTTCCAGTTCATTTCTAAGTACGAGTGTGTGGTCTATGGTCCCTGACTTAAATTTCTCTCCTAGTCCTCAATCAATTCTTTGCACGAGGTACTGTGCTGGGTATTTTATGTATGTTATCTCAATTAATCTTCCTAACCACTAGGAAATAGGTACTGTTATCTCATTCGAGAGATAAGGAATCTGAGGTTCAGGCAGGTCAAAACCCTTGCACAAGATCACACAGCTAATAAGTGGACTCAAAGAATTTAAGAGATGGGAGTGGAGGAAGGGGGTAAAATTGTCAGGATGTGACAACCCATTGGTTATTTATAGGTGGTAAATCAAACAGAAGCAGTGTCTGCATCTGAATGAATCAAAGTTCAAGTCACAACTCTTCATTACAAGGTAAGGGATAAAGAGACACATAAATAGTGCTGTGAGAATTCTTAGGAGGAGATAATCACTCTGATGATCAGCCAAACAAATGCAACAGAGCTTCATGGACATGGTGCCACTTGAAATGGGTCTTGAAGAGCAAGCTTTCAGCAAGTGAAAACCATTGGGAGCTATTGCCTACTGAAGAAATAGCAAGAGAAAAGGCCAGAGGAAAAAAAAAAAAAAAGGGAGCCAGGGAAGGCAGGAGGTATATGTATAAAACGCTAAACGGCCCATGTGGTTACACTACTGGGAACAGGAAGGGGAGTTTTGGGGGTGGGGGATGATAACTGTGAAGAACTCTGAGTCCAAGGCCTGCCTACTTCATCTCAGTTCCTTTACAGCAGGATCCCTCACACGGCTGCTAGCAAATAAAAGCAAATAGGGTTAAACAAAAACAAAATCAAAACAAAACCAATAGAGCTGATAATCTAGAAAATTATTCCAGGTCGATTCAATGCACACACACATCCAACTAGATTTGCAGATTTGCCCTCTTCTGGGTTTCCCTCCTGACACCTTGGACCCTAGTTCTCTGACATAGAATTTGGCTTTATCTGTTCCTTTGGTTTCTCCTTTTGTCTCAAACAAGGACTCCCCACTTCAGACCCTATGTGAGAACAATGCTCCAACTGTCAACCCGAAGCCCCACTATGGAGAAGGAGCTTAATTCAAAGTTAAAGAGATGGTCCTTCCTTAGAAAGCAAAGAGACACCACAGAAGGTTTGTGAGTAAAAGTGCAATATGATGTCACGTACTTTTGCTCTTAGAAGGTATTTAGCTGCTACATGTAAAGATGAATTTAAACATTTAGAGACTGGTGGATGAAAGACCAATGTGGTGGCACTGCAGTATTTAAGAAGCAATGTGGGTCAGAACAAGAATGATGATAGTGGAAATGGAGAGGAGAGAGTAGACGCAGGCAGTAAGGAAGAGGTAGAACTGTCAAGACATTCTAATCTACTGGCTATTTGTAGACAGTAACTCAAAATAATTAGAAGCAGAGGATGTGCCTTTGAAAAGTTCAGGATTCAAGTCACAGCTCTTCTTCTTCCACACTATGTGACTTTGGGCAAAAAACCTCGTCTCTCTAAACCTCAGCATCCTTATGTATGAGATACGAAGGATAACAGTTCCAACCTCACCAAGCTGTACTCAAAAAGTAAATGAGATAATGTGTCCAAAACAATGATCACAATGCCTAGAACACAGCCAAAAATGTCAGAATTATCAAGATATATAAGTCAGAGGAGGAGCTAGAGTGAGTGATGCTATAGGACGCATAAGAGGTGGCTGGAGTCTAGGTGGCTGAGAGGGACATGCCAGGAAATCAAAAGTCAGGTTCAACAGTAGAATTGATGTGTTTTAGAAAGCAGTTCACCATGCTCTCCTTCTATAGCATCATAATCTCTACGTTTTACATCTGGTGCTCTATCAGGACAGAGCCCCATGCTAATAACCCTAGGTTCTCTTACTGCATGTCTGTAGCTATCAGGAACTGCTGCTTTGAAAAACTTGCCCTGAATTTTACATCTAATGTCCTCCTAACCAACAAAGTTGTGCATTTCATTTTGCCCCAGGAATCTGTGGATGTATAAGTGTGTATTCATGTTAAAAAGATAAAACAATAATTTGTAATAGGTTCTCTAACATTCAAAATCAACACAAACTTTTCCTTCAGTAACACTTAAATGGAGGTAGGTCACCAATAATATAATCAAAACAGTTAAGGGTAAATCAAGGATAATTAAAGGGAGATGTAAAACCAGGAATGGTCCCCCAAATAAAACTATGCAGGCCAATCCCTATCAAGAGTGGAACTCTAACTTACCTTGACAATAAGGATTCTAGAAGATCATCACTCAGAGGTAATCTGGAGGATTTGCACAGCCTTTTAATGTCTTTGGTGGGTAATACATTTTTTCTGCATTAAAACAGAGTAAATGAGCTTTCATATACCTTGTTTACCTTTAGTAACAATTACATATTATAGGAAAGAAAATACATTTGTGATGTTTCCTGAGAATGTACACATGGAAGTATGAAAATTGGCATTGGAATTCACAATAAGGAAGAACAGTCATATTTCATTTCATCAACTTTTTCTATTTCAGAGGCCACCAGATTCCATCCTTACAAAGGCTTTTCCTTCAAGATGCAGATTCTTGGTTGGTGACAGTACAGCCTATTAAGGCTGCAGCCACAAGTGTTGCTCTAAGTAATTGATCTGCATTCTTGACCACTAGTCAAAAATGGTTCTGATATTTGAAAACATCTCTTAATTTGACAGGCATCTAGAGCCTCCAACACAAGTATGATATGACTTGAGGGTGTTTTTCTGTTCTTTTCCTTGGACCCAAAACCTTATAACCTGGAAGCCCCAGCTGGGGCCTCAATATTCACTTCAATTTTTTCAGATGCTAGCAGTTTTCTCTAGAGCAGCCCAACAGTCATTTCCTCCAGTCTTCTGGGGGCAAAGAAATGCTTGTCCAATGTTCTCATTCAGCCAACACTTTTCCAGGCATCAGGCAAAATTAGAACCAACAGGAAAGAAAGTTGGCTCTTTTCTTTGCAATGAGAATGTTTATATCTAGAATGAAAGCTTGTTGGATCTGGAAGAACCTCAGGTTATCTGGTCAAGCAGCCCCATTGTTCCCAAGAAGTGTTCCTTGAATGAAGGAGGGCCACACTTCTCACTCTGGGGAAGGGGCACCACCAGGGTGGAAGGCAGGGCCAGGGCCATGCAAAACTCAGGTCACACATCTTCTAGGAAGCTTGGGGAAGCTTAAAGAGTCAAGGAAAAATACCACCTTTATAAAAACTCAAAGAGGATGCATTATGGATTAATAAAAAAATGTTTATTTCTAAGACAAACTATGGGACCTGCACAGAATATTCAGGGTATGCAGTTAGCCACTTGGGTGCAGACTTCAAGTTTGGGGATAAGGAAAGAGGTCACAAGGAAGAGAGATGGCAGTGGTGTGCAGCATAAGGATTAAAAGCTAGAGTGAGAACTAAGATTTTTCTAATTCTAGATGAAATCAGTAAATTTATATTTCTCCCCCACTGTATCAGGTCTGTAAGATGAATAAAAAAAAATTAAGATGTTTGCATCCAGTTGTATATAACAATGACTTAATGAAGCTCAACATGCAGACAATCAACGTATAAGAAATAGGTTATGCTGAGCTTCATTATTTTCAAGAAGAAATAATTTCAAAGAAATTCTACAGAATGTTTGCTTGAAAATTCCATTTTCTGTTTATTATAAAAGTTACATGTATAAATCCCCATCAGTAATAAAATAATGTAAAAAGATCACAACTCAAATTAACCCTTCTAACATTTTGATTTACTATGCTTCAGTTGAAAGCTTCTAGAAACAAATGAAAAGAACATGCAAGGGAGAGGCCTATTCTTTCAAAGGTACAGGGCCTCTCCTATTCCATCAACAAGACCAGCCTGGCCAACATGGTGAAACCCTGTCTCTACTAAAAATACAAAAAAAAAATTAGCTGGGTGTGGCGGTACAAGCCTGTAGTCACAACTACTCAGGAGGCTGAGGCAGGAGAATCTCTTGAACCTGGGAGGTGGAGGTTGTAGTGAGCCGAGGTCATGCCACTGCACTCTAGCCTGGGTGACAGAATCAGATGCCATATTACACACACACACACACACACACACACACACACACACACACACACACACAAAGCTCACCATCACTGGGAAATATATGTACCTAAATACTTCTCCGAAAATGATTTAAGGTGTCTGTGCTAAATAGTAGAGTATGAGTATGATGACACATGTCAATTTCTTTTTGCCCTTTTTGATAAAATAGAAATTCCTTCATTACTCAGGTTCACAGAAATGTAAATGATTAGAATCAATAAAACAAAAGCTTACTTTTCTCGATCTTCATACACACAGGAATAAATGAAACTGTCGAAATTCTCAAACATATTTTTCTTGAACTTTTCGTGGGCCAGTGCGATTAAGAAATCCACATCTGAACAGGTGTCCTCAGGTGCACGGTAGTGACGTACAATGGTTACAAATTCTTGCTCTGAGAGGTTTCCAACAGTAAAAGACATCAATATGTCTCTGTAATAAAAAGGGAAAAACATTTATAAGCTGATATATAAGAATACAGTATTTTACCTCTCCTTCTATTTAAAAGATCCAAATTCCATTTTATAAAACTTTTACCAACTGTACAGAGGTCAGGTGATTTTTTTTAAACTTAATTTCTCTACTTAATTTGGGAGCAGCAGGAAGGCACCAATGCCAGAATGGAAAATCATAGGCACTGTAGCTTATAAATAAAAATGGCATTTTGCCCAGAGTCAAACACCTACCAAATAACAGCCTGCAACCAGGAAGTAAATTTTTAAAGGCCTTGAATGGTCAAAAAACCTGTCACCAAGTACATGACTTTATTCAATGCCTATTAATCTTCCTTACACAAAATAGTAACAGGCTTGCGTTTCTGGTTTCCTGGGACATAAGATTTGTTAAGTTAATAAATTAGAAAGGTGTTTTGGGATAGGGAAAGCAATCATGCACATTTCTGTAATAAAAAGTAAAAATGGACACACCCTAGCAATGAGAAAAAGAAAAAAAAATGAAACGTTAAAAGACCTATGTAAGCATACAGCTATCTGCATCTTTAGAAGGCAAATGATACTGAGATTATTAGGTAGAGCTTAAAAAACTAAATAACAACGTATCAATGAAGAAGACTCGAGGCCTAACAAATTGGCTGAATTGTTTTCAATGTAACTCTGTGTGAAAGCCATAAACTATGCAGCATACATCAGAAAGAATTACATCAAAACGATTAAAATGCAAAATGTTATGCTGTTACAGGAATAAGCTTCCACTGTCTAGAAAATTTATTTACTGGAAATAATTCAGTTTCTAAGAATCCTGAATAAACAAGGGAATAGAAAATTTTATTTGGCCTTCTGCTAGAAAGAGGTCTTTCAGAATAAATGCTTTCAGTTCTTTCAGGTATTTCTGGACATTATCATCTAATAATTCTAGATTCTCCTAGTCAAGAATTTCCATAGAGTCTAGGAAAGCCTACAGCAATGATGTTGACCTATCTAAAGGAAATTCATTTCATCTACATCTACTTCTCAAGTTTCCTCGGTTGTTTTGTTTTGTTTAAATTTGGTTTTGCTTTTGTATTTTTAATGAGAAATGAATGCAAAATCCAACCAAGATGATCCCAGAATTTCAGCAAGTCAGGTCAGACAACCAATTAGTAATATTGGCAGGAGGCTCGCTATATGGAAAACACTGTAAAAGGCTCTCTGGCATTTTAACTTTTCCGAGTCTGTTATCTATTTGCACTGTCCAAGCATATAGAAGAACTTTCAAAGCCAGAAACTGGTAGGGCCACTTAAATAAACAGTAATAGCAATAACTTCTGCCATTTGTTGAGTACTAACTGTGTGCCAGGTCCTGTGCTAGCAGGGACTTCTGACATCTAGCCTAGGAGGTGGTGCTACTATTATCCCCACTGTACAGATGTGAACTGAGGCAGAGAAATGTTAAGTAACCTGCCTAATGTCACAAAAGCCAGAATGTGAACCCATGTAGTCTGGCTCTAAAGCCCATGCTCTTGCATACTACTCTATCCCTCTTCTGTTGGGACACAGAAGGTGGAGAGAACTGATGGAGTGGGGCTCAGTCAGGAAATCTGCCTAAAGGCAGTGGGGTTTAAGCTGATTTTTTATGAACCTCTATTGCCTTTATTGTCCGTCATCTCTGCTTTGAGGGCTATCACTAACCATTATTTAAAAACTAAGAGAAAATAATTTCAGAAAACCTGAGTCACCAACCATCACTGACAGAGGGCTAAGTAACCACAAAAGAGCCACTCCAAGTAAAGCCCCTGGCTCCTCTACAACACTGGTCAAGAAATAGTCATGCCATGTGTGTAAAATGGAACACTACACCATCATTAAAAGTATGATGTTTGGGGCCAGGTGCGGTGGCTCATGCTCATAATCCCAGCACTTAGGGAGGCCAAGATGGGCAGATCGCCTGAGGTCAGGAGTTCGAGACCAGCCTGGCAAATGTGGTGAAACCCCATCTCTACTAAAAATACAAAAATTAGCTGGGCGTGGTGGCGCACACCTATAATCCCAGCTACTCGGGAGGCTGAGGCACGAGAATCTTTTGAACCCAAGAGGCAGAGGTTGTGGTAGCTGAGATTATGCCACTGCACTCCAGCCTGGGTGACAGAGTAAGACTCTGTCTCAAAAAAGAAAAATAAATAAATAAAAATAAAAAAGAAGATTATAGAAGAATATATCTAAAAGTTAAAAAAAAAAGTTATGATGTCTGGGAGGCTGAGGCAGGAGGATTGCTTCAATCCAGCAGTTTGAGGCTGCAATGAGCTCTGACCATGCCACTGTACTCCAGCCTGGACAACATAGTGAGAACCCATCTCTACCAAAAAAAAAAAAAAAAAGCTGGGCATGGTGGCATGCACCTATAATCCCAGCTACTTGGGAAGCTGAGGCAGGAGGATCACTTGAAGTTAGGAGTTTGAGGCTGCAGTGAGCTATGATCATACTGCTGCACTCCAGCATGAGTGACAGACCAAGACCCCACCTCTAAAAAAAGAAAAGTATGGTATTGATTGATATTTATTGGTATGATAGATGTCCATGCTGTGTTGATAAATGTAGTATGATCCCAGTGAAAAATCAAAATACAGGTGCACATATGGTCATAGAAATAAGACCAGAAGGATGCATGCCAAAACATCAATAGTATTATCCTGAATGGCTGAGATGTCTTTTTAAAACAAAACGTATTTCCATTTTTTTCTGAATTTTTGTAATAATCAAATATTATTTTCATTGTCTAAATGAAAAAAAAAAACATTTGAAAGCATTTCCTTTTGAGAGTAGAATATGGCGTGAAGAAGAGAAAGTGGCATGCTCCCAAGGACAAGGAAAAAGAACATGTGAAGCAATAACTAGAAACTTTCCATACATCTTTCACTAAACTTATTATAGCACCACCAGAACATAAAAGTTTATTTTCCTTTTCATTGGATAAACTGAAATTATCCTGGCTTCACTGCAGTTAAAATTTATATCTGCTGGGTTTCTGTATGCTTGGGTTTTAAACAGCTCAGTATTCCAGTTTTACATGGCGTTACATGAGAGTTTCAAACAAGCTGCGCTATACTTGAAACTGCTGACAGCCCTGCAGGGCATCAGGGGCTCCTGGAGCGGCTGCCTGTGTGGCTGCTGTGCCCACGTGAGGCAGGTTCCTGCACCAGGGATCTCAATCAGGATGTAAAAGCCTCACCTTGCAGACCTCAGATGGCTGTCGCCACTCTGCCCTGCATTTGACACATGTGTGTTTTTCAGGATTCACCCCGCCCTGTTAAACTTTAGTAGGATTCACAAAGAATTAAAAATCAAAAGTCACACATTCCATTTTTTATTGTAGTAAAATACACATAGCATAAAATTTCCCATTTGTGACATTTAGTATATTCACAATGTTGTACAACCACCACCTCTATCTAGTTCTGAAACATTTCCATCACCCCAAATAAACCTCATACCCATTGAGCAACCACACCTCTTTCCTCCCTCCTTCCTAATCCTCCTCCCTATCCAGAAACCACTAATCTGCTGTCTCTACAGATTTGCCAGATTCTGGATATTTTATATAAATGGAATTATGTAATATGTATTCTTTTGTGATTGGGTTCTCTCAGCACATTTTCAAAGTTCATCCATGTTGTAGCATGTATCAGGACTTCATCGTTTTTCACTGCTGAATTCTTACTCATTGTACTATCATACTATTGTTCATTGTATGAATGTGCCATACTTTGTTTATCCACTCATACGTACATGGACATGTGGGTTGTTGCCACCTTTGGCTGTTGTGAATAGTGCTGCTATGAACATCTGTGTACAAGTTTTTGTGTAAACACCTGTTTTCAATTCTTTGGGTTACATATACCAAGGAGTGAAACTCCTGAGTCACAGGTAAGTCTGTTTAACCTATTGTGGCACTGCCAAACTGCTTTCTGAACACTCTATTTTTGCTTAGCAGCAGCCACAAAAACATAGGTCCAACTTCCATCAAGCATAGCCCTTCCTCACCTAAAAACGTCATACTGAACTTGAAATAAGATCTGATAGCAAAATCTGATCTCAGTACTTCTTGACCAATCATTTCAGGGAAATAAAAATGTATTTTAAAAGGCAGTTGTGATTGTATTGATCTTGTGTCCTGTGATTATTATTACTAATCTTGAAGATTTAGATAGCAAGTTACCTTTGCCTTTAGCCAACACTGTACTACATTCCTGGAACTAATATTTTAATACAGTATAATAGTATAATATCACAGTATTATTTAGTTAATCTTATAAGGGATGCTGCCATGATTTTCTCTTGGCTTTTGTAACTAAAGTCATAAGACTCAAAAAAATGCCAAGATGCTCTAGGGTATTGAGAATTCTATGCAGAATTCTGAAACATGAAACGCTAAACAGCTTTATAAGACATAATTCCATTAAAGTCATCCAGTAAAATGGTGAATCAAAACTTCCTTTTAAAGCTCTGAATCTCAGGGTATTTTCTTACTTGTTGAATCATTAAAGTTTAAGCAATGTCTTTCAAATAAACTAAAAAAAATTAGTTTTAGCATAAACAAGGGCTCAAGAGCCTAAGCCTTCAGACCCTAAGGCATACAGCAAAATCTAGTTGAGCCTAAATTAAACCAAGCAGCAGTTTTGGCGACAATTAGGTAGCACCCTTTCTCATTACTTTCAATTTGATATTCATCAAATAAAATGTGTTTTGCTTCCTGTAATCAGAAGCTGTGCACACCTGCTCATATTCTACCCTCCCTCAGGCTTTCCCTTACACTTGTGGGCCTAAGCTGCCCATACAAAACAGAAACCCTTGCTGTATTGTCACTTATATTCCAGCATGTCATACTGTGGTTTTGTTCATTGTTGAATCTGTGGCTAGAGGATTGCCAGACAGTAGAGGGTGGTAGAGATAGCTGGTAGAATATGTGTCAGAGGAAGGAGAGATGGGAAAATACATCAC